ACTTCCGGTACCCATAACTCCCAAATGTTGCATCTTGAAGGAGTGTGGGCCGGCTCCATTAATTAAACCTGGTTCTGGTCCGCATGCTTTCCGGTCTTATTCCTTCAGTTTTACACTTCATATAGGATATGTGGATGGAGTTGTGGATGGCGCAGCGCAAGTCACTCTTGGTTCCTCTGTAGGCACAGGTGTCCTGTTGCTGTCGTATGGGGGCCGCAGTGGCAGGTTAACCCGAAATCAGATGCCACCAACCAGGTATGAATGTATGTAGCTGTTTTTGCTTGAATTCGCATACGGGACGTTGCGTTTTTGATTGGTTTCCGTTAGGTCGTCAGAGGAAGTCTTTGAACTCGATGTCTCACATCCGAGGGATGAGTAAGGTCATACGGATAGGCAAGAGACAGTGACTATTAAATGGTGGCTCACACTCGCAAGGTTCTTCAACAAACATTTCTGGTTTTTTATTAGGAGACTGTTTGCCAGGTGTAAACCTACTACGTCCTGGAACACTGCACCCGAACTATTTGCTTGAACGGAATTAACCCGAACCATCCAGTTAGCACCACGGGAGGTTCTTTGGCGAATCATTCGTGTCCATTAAACGCTATTTCAGAGACTTCATCCTTGATGAAGTTGAAAAGGAAAGGTGACAGCGGGCAACCTTGTCTCACATCGCTGGAGTTATTGGAAGGCGGGGAATGTTTGCCGAAAGCTCTCACTCTGCCCGAACTATGCGCGTGCAACCTCGTTATAAATTATAATAATGTGCCAGCTGTACGCCGTAACGGCGCTTCACTGCCGCGCGACCGTCACCAGTCGCACGCAGACTGAGCATACCGCGAGGACGCCCACCCGTATGCGGATTCGAACCGATGACCTTATGATTGTCAACCAAACGCACAGACCACTCGGCCACCGGGTGGCCAACGCTGTTTTGTATATATATATATATTTATATATATATTCACAATCTGTTAACTAACATTGTGCCATCAGCACCACGGCAGAAAAAATTGGAGAAGATAGCAACACGGACTGCAATTAAGAAATGTAAAACGATATTTTTTGGTTTTCCACGCGCCATTTTGAATTTTTTTGTTATGTTCTTTGTATTTATTAAAGGGGGATAAAATGGCAGAACAACACTGACACCACTGATGCCTGTTGCGGGCCATGACATTCAATGTTTTCAACCACTGAGATTCAGCATCTCGTGATCCCCAACCTGGGAGACGGACTGGCCCAACTGCCGCCAAACTTGAAGTTGCCTTCTTCATGCTCCTTCTCCACCTCTGGCTGTCCACGGTGGCACTTTTTCCAATCCGTCCCTGGGAGTGCAAATAGCGCTCGACGTGTAAGGCGATGGGCTGGCATGCGCAAAACATGCCCGAGTCAACGCATGCCATGTCGGAGAATAACGTCCTGAAGACTGGCACTACTCGCTCCAAGCACGGTCTCGCCGCTCTGCGTTGCTTACTTGGTGTTGCCACCACACCTGAACAACCCTTCGTAGATAGCGATTGTCGACGATTAACAGCCGCTTCATGAATAGGCCAAGTCTCACAGCCGTACAAGAGTTCTGCGCGGACAGAAGCGTTGTACACCCTTACCTTGAGCTTGATAATGACATTACAACAACGCCATAGGTGTCTCAGTTTAATGAATGCAAGGCGGGTCTTTGCAATCCGTTGTGAGACTTTATCTCCAACACAGCCACCAGCCGTGATGCAACTTCCCAGATAAGTAAAGCAAGGGACTTGATCCAGAACATGTCCAGCAATGGTGAACGCGGGTCCATGCACCTGCCATTCCTGGAGCGACGTTTTACATTTTCCCGGAGTGCGGCATAAGCCGTGCGGTCCAAGGCGCTCTGGACGATTTGTGGGTCGTCCCTAAGCAAGGCGATGTCGTCGGCGTAGTCCGTGACTCTGTTTCAACACCGCAGTTCTGGACACCTTCCAGTGCTCTTTGGACAACTTTTCGATGGCGAAGTTTAAGTGGAAATGTGAAATAGGGCAACCTTGGCGAACACCGCTGGTCACAGCAAATGAAGTATAGAGCGTGCCGTAAGCGCTGACTTTGCCCGACGTGTGACTGTAATGTTCTTACAGGATGGTTACAAACTTGTCGGGCACACCTTTCTTCAGTAAGCAGTTCCACAACGCAGATCTATCTACTGAGTCAAATGCCGTTGTTAGAACATTTATATATTTCTCGTGTACACTTTTTCTAAGCAGATAGTCCCAATGAGCACGTCGATCCACCTAATTGAAGGTACTTGGTACCGAAGAGGATGACTACTGGGGGTCGCCAATAAATATGGGGGTGCTCCAACGATTGACGTAATGTGTGCGCCTTACTTATAACTCGAACTTGCTATCTTCAGTACATAAATATCATAACGAACTGACTCACCAGTTGTCACTGATGAATGAGGTTGGTGAGTCGAACGCTGACTGGGATAGTCTCAAGAGTGTCATGGAAAATGCTTTTGACGCTCGTTGGGCACACAACTTGAGACGTCCAAACGGTCACTGGATCTCTGAGACATCGATCATTTTGATCGAGGTAGGCAAACTGGCTCCACTGGATAGTGCGGTTTAACATGCCCGTAACGCCTCGAAGCGATGTCTAGAAAGGAGTCTTGGAATCGACTGGGTACTTTAGTCAATGGCAATGGCCCATGAGATGGAGAAAGACAGTGGGAAGAGCCGAGGGCTATTCCAGCTCATCTAGAACACGGGTGCTAGAAAGCCCTCTGTTATTGTGACCATAGCTAAGCAATTTAGACAGTTGATCCATCATCAGCCTCTTCCACTAGTCCGTTATGTGGAACATTTTAAGGGGAAGTTCCACAGGTCCGCTGGGACACTGCTGCTTACTGAGCACCCTGAACTTACATAAAAGGTTCATGTCACACATCCCACTGAAAGAGATTCGACATGAACTTACCGTGTTGGTACGAAACAGGGCATCCGGACTTGTTGATCTACTCAGCACTATTTTGGGACACAGCTGAAGTGCCATCATTCTGGCGAACTTCAACTGTTGTGCTCATATTCGGAAACGTCAACGGGATTGGTGCAAAAGTCATCGAGGCCTTAGTGTTCTTTCCACTGCCTACAAACTTCTCGCGGACTTCATTCCTCGATGACTTATTGCTTCTCTTGGGGGCCGAATCTGACTTCCGCTTTGGTCGTGGTTGCATCGACCACACATTTACTTTTCGCAAATGGTCAGAGCAGGCAGCTAAGACGTCCGTCCATGGTTGTTTTCCTTGATCTGTGTCCGGGAAAGTAAAATATCCCAGCAAAATTCACTATTTCAATGGGAAAACGAGTTACGTCGATGATGTACAACGAAACATCTACTTGTTTCAAGAACGTTCACATCCATACAACTTGCACACCACCCCTCCCGTTGGCTAGCGGAACTGATCTATCAATCCAGACAGCTGACCTAGCTGTTTTAATACGTGAACCTTCATTGGCTGACTTATAAATGTCCGTCAATTTTACACTACTTGTTCCCGTTTCGGTAGATAGTTCCGCATCACGCTTTCGCCTCCAAGCGTTGATTTCGGAGTTCCGGCTGGGATTCGGAGCTAGCAGAGAACGAATTCATTTCAACCGGAATCGCTTGTCAAGAGAAAGATCGTAACAACAGGACCGAGAAAGTGTGAGTTGCAAGAGCTTCAGACAGCTTTTGCAGACATTTCGGACTAATTTACATCATCTTTCCATGGAATTAGGTATGGGTAGCACCTGCTTCCGAATACACAATAAGAAATGTCTGCTTCGTTGAGTGGAACACTTTCAGTTGTAGTTCAATTTCTCCTGAGATTTTTCTCGCTCAGGTTGTTCAGCTTGAGTTATTATAACCTGATTCAGCGATTTCCCTTGTAACTGCGCTTGGTAACGCTACTGAATAAGATCAACTCATGGTGATTATAAAATTTTCTTCGATTCACTAATCCAAATGTTCTAGCATTTGTAGGGCTGTCCGAACAAACTGGGACGAACGGGGCTCATAAACAATTTTTGAAAGATGACCCCCTTGGGGAGCCCACAACAACTGCATTTTTGAGAAAGACAACTGTATCTTTTGTGCTAAGCTCGGTCGCATTAGCTTGATGTCGATAGCGCCAAAGTCGTAAACACCCATTCTCGTCAACCACTTCACTGTGCGATGGGGATCTTCGATAACAAAAGGACAGGCGGGTTTCTGCTCAAGGCCTGGATGTGGATATCAAATATTTATTCTGCGATAGGTGACGAAGCATACTCGATTTTCCAACTGATGGTCTATATCTGCCTTCCCTTACTCTATCCAACATACACAGTAAGGTGTTCTCATGAAATCTGTGTTAGAAGGCATTCCTAAGTACTGGATCAATGAACTCTACACAGACCAAATGCCAACTTACCAATAGTCAAGACAATATTCTCACACAATCTGATATTAAGAACACATAAATGTCGGTAGTCTGCTTCACGCAATTGTCTTGTGTCTGGCGGCCATTAAACTTGGACCTGCAACCTTGCCTTCTTGATCGACCATTCGGAGTGGTCATGTTTAAAACAACCCATCATAGTGGCACGGCGCGATCTTGATGACCAAAACAATGTGACACATCATATACCGCTCACTTGAACATCGCATGTTTTTCCTTGTCTACCTCTAATTATCGGATGCCTTTTCAACAACAACTAGTCTTCGCAGCTGTCTCATTTCCCTACACCACTTCGACCTTATCGTTGAAGGTTCCAACATGTCCCGCTCACGGTTGCCTAACGGCACTACAGTACTTTTATGTCAGCATTTACATTTATTCGGGAAAATAAATTGGACACTGGCCCGAATTTTACTTCCTTCTGATGGTAGTTTTCTTTACTTTTATTGTGGGTCATCAAGTGGTCTCCTTTATCCTTTTTGACTCACTTAGTTTGCTGATGTTTTACATAACCAATCTTTTGTTTCTCTGAAATGTGTTCATTCAGTATCACTCTTGGATTTCGCTCTGAGCCCAATAGTCGGTCCACCACTGCACACAGAGTCGGGCCTTTGTGCTAGCTTTGGAAAGATCACACAACCAGCTTTTGTCAACATGACTTTATCAAACATGCCTCCTACGTGGAATACAGTCCAAACTTATGTTTATCAGTATCAAACTTCCTCTCCATCTCCATCAAGTCCGAAGTGTGGTTCGTACAATGACGACCTTGCCACAAAGTCTCCCACACTCATCACACAATCTCCACGCGCTTTGATGCATTCACCGTCCGATATAGTCTTTGGAGATCCTCGTCACACTCGTCCTGGTATTTGCGACCCAGTTACGGAGCGCAATTCCTATGAGGTAAGTCTTCTGCGGCACTCTAGACAACTATCAACTCTTTGTTCATCATCATCATCAACTGCATTACACCGTTGCCATACAACCACAGTGACCTACGAAATAGAAAACAATAGGAGGGAGAGAAGGGAGACCTAGCGTAAAACCTCACTAACACCATCAGTAAATCAGTCACTTGAACTGATGGTTCGCTGCCATACAACCATGATGATCTATGGAATAGAGAATAATAAGATGGAGAGAAGGGGACTTACCTGAAGACCTTAATGCCCTAAGCAAACATTCAGGGTCAAGGCACCTACACTTTGTGTAGACAACATACCGTCACAAACAGCTGGCTACCGTGTAAACATATAGCGGCATCAGCGAGACAGCTTCCTTGCGGCTTTCATTTCTACGCGTCATAATCAGCCAGTACCCGCAGATAACTCAGCAGCAAACACCTTAAACAGGTAATCCGGTTAGGAGACGGCAGCATACACGTCAGTGGTGTCGGTTTCTAGCCAAGTCCTGTAAAGTGTCGAGCCAAGCACAAGGCGAATCACGTAGACTCTAGCCCAGATGGCGAGACAGACCAACGGCACGCAGTTTGGTTGTCAGGAACTTCATTTCCCGCTGCCAAGTCAATTTCTCTCCACCTCGAGCCTTGCGCCACCCTACACCTGGCAGACTAAACAAGACCCTCCTAGGTAAGCGGTGACCAGGCATACGTAGCACGTGCCCGAGCCAACGTAACTTATTCAGTGCTATCTGTTGTTCTAGGGAGCTAGCATGATTATCACTACCTAGTACTCGCCTACGCGCATCATCGTTGTGGACACGCTGGTGCCATCCGACTCCAGCAATGCTTCGCAGACAACGATGATCAAAGACCTGAAGGCGCCTCAGATCTCCAGACCGAAGGGCTACGTTTCACTACCATAGAACAGGACGGCCCTCACGCTGACCTTGTATACACGGCCTTTCAAACGGAGGGAGACACTCTTCTGTCACCAAAGATGCCGCAGATTCAAAAGGGTAGTTCTGGCATTTGCAATGCGGGAACTGACTTCAGTTTCTATGCGCCCGTCGTCACTGATGCAAGTGCCAAGATAAGTGAAATGATCAACCACCTCGAGTTCCTCTTTAGCAAGCGTCAAAGGGTCATAAAGTGGCTGGTGGTCCTTCAGCAACACTTTGCACTTTGAAGGTGCAAAGCGCATACCGAATAATGGGACCACTCTAGACAGACTATCCAGGGTTGATTGTGCCGCCGCAACATGGTCAAAAAGCAAGACGATATCGTCCGCATAATCAAGATCAACTAATCTTTCACCAGGCAGCACTTCAACGTCTACATCGGAAGATTCCGCAAGGGAACACTCCATGATAGAATCCACGACGAAATTGAACAAAAATGGGGAAATCGGACAATCCTGACGAACGCCACTTGTGGTCGGAAAGCTATCCGATAGGACACCATAGTCCCGGTCTGTAGTGTTCGAGTATAGAGCACGTAGGATGTTCACATATTTCGTAGGAACACCTTTCCGCGCAAGTATATCGAACAGAATGCATCGATTGACTGAATCAAACGCATTCTTGAAATCAAGGACCACAGCTATTGTCGGTCTGCGGCATGCGTGGCGCTGCTCTAGCACCTACTGCGAAGTGAATATCTGGTCTATACAGCCACGCCCTAGACGGAAACCTGCCTGCTTTTCCCTAATTCGAGATTCCCGTTCTGCAGTGAGGCGACGAACGAGAATCGAGGCCAATAATTTTGTCACAACTGGCGTTAGGCTAATAGCCCTGTGGTTAGGACAGTCTCTGCGACTGCCCTTCTTGTGTATTGCCACTATAATCCATTCGTTCCCATCAGCCGGGACACTCTTCCTTCCAGATACGCTGAAATAAGGTCCGTGGTTTGAAGAGGACCTCACCTCCATCCTTAAATAGTGCACGTGGGAGGGGATGCGGGCCAGCGGAACGATAACGATTGAGGGCTGTGACCGCGTTTCGGACCTCGGCCTCTGACAGAGGCTCTAAACTAACCGTCCGTAGTTCGTCCTACATCACCTGAGCAAGTAGAGTTCCGGGAGCAGGAGGCCAGCTGAATTGATCTTGCAAGTGTTTCGCCCAACGAACCATACGGCGCTCCTTATTGTGTATCAGTGCACCCGCGCGGTCTCTGATTGTCTCACTGACGCCTGGTTTTATGGGACCGATGGTGCGGATCATCTGGAAGAGCTTGCGGTTATTGCCTACTGCTCCTGCCTCCTCCATTTCTTGAGCCCTACTGGTCCACTAGCCTTCCATGTCAGCACATATGCTCCGCTTTAGTTCGCGCCTAATAGCCCGTCTGGTCACATGGTGCTCAGAGCCAGCCGGAAGGTTTCTCCTGGATTCCAACAGGTTCACCGACCTCGGATATTTAGTGACTGGTGCTGTGACCATTGATAGTGCCACAAGCAGATGCTCCTGCGTCGTGTACGGCGGACGTGATCCTATTCCACTGAAGCTCAGTGTCATTAGAACAAGACAGCGAAACTTCGGTATGCAGTGCGACTTGATAAGCTTGCCTGACCGAGGACTGAGATAATTTCTCAGCTGTCCGTCGAAAAGGAAGCTTGGTGCGCATTCCGGTAAAGTTCATGGAGAAACGACAAGCTACCAAGGTATGATCAGCGTCGATGCAGGTATTCCAGTACGAGTGACAATCCAGGATGGAACCACGCCACCTATAACTTATGGCAATGTGATTTATTTGGGTCTATTGTTGGTCAGTTACAGTAGGAATACCAAGTGGCACTTCGGCGCCCACTGTGTCTAAAAGCAGTGCTACTAAGAAACAACTAGTGCTTTGCACACAGTTGCAGCAGACGCTCGCCATTGTCAGTCCGTTTGGAGTTAAGCCCATAGTTACCACCCAGCTGAGCTTCTAAAGAGCTCAGACGCCCTACTTGTGCGTTCATATCCCCAGCAAGTGTTATAACATCTGAACTAGTAGCACTGCGTAGTAGCGCGTTCAGTTCGTTATGGAATGTGTCCTTGACAGCGGTTGGACTGTAGTCCGTGGGAGCATAAGTGGAAATCACAAACAACGTTTTGTCCTACTTAGTGAATCAACCTTAGCTGATGTCGTCAAACGGGCTGTACATAAACGGCTGTTCACCGGAATCCAATTGTTTACCGATGGCTCAGTATTGGAGCTTAGAATGATACCTATACCGGCTTGACCCGTGAGTGCTACATCGGCGTCTCCGGATGCGTGCAAGCAATAACGAGAGGATAAGCCGGGTGCAGTTAATTCAACAGCCCCATTAGGGTTATTGATCCCAGTTTCGGACACACAACATACATCAATACCATCGCCTGCATCGATGCATCTGAGAAAACATGAAAGGATCAAAGCGCCCGAATGCCCTCGGCAAAAACCCAAGATGTTGGTTACCTTTTTTGGAGGCTTTCTCGGCCTGACGGGAACAGTCTAGATCTTCCCGCACTATCACGCCTAGATCGCATTCCATTGAAGTGCGCTGCAATATTTGATCTCTCAGTCTGTATTCGCAAGTGGCTTTATGGCGTATGCTCAACACCTTGCACTTTTTAGCATTGAACTAAAGCAGGTTCTGTCATGGTCATCCTAAAGTGCTGCATTGTCGCTGGTCGTTCTAATGGCTCGCCATATCTTGAGATCATCAGCGAAAAGTAAGGAGTTGGAAGTGATCACTGTCGCGAGATCGTTCATTTAAATCAGGAATAGTCGTGGAACAAGTACTGAGCCCTTGGGCACTGCGCACTTAAGGTCGATTAGGTCAGAGGTGACGCCGCGTTAAGGCAAGAAGTTACCTATCCAGCCAAGGATTGGGTCACGAATTCCACAACACTGCAGTTTGTGAAGGTGGATTCGGTGGTTCTGACGGTCAAAGACCTTTGTGAAGTCCAGATATTCTGCATCTACACCTACGCCGCTGTCGGTGGCCTCAGTCCAACTGGATCTAGCAAGTAGCAAGTTTGAAGTACAAGATCAGTTCTTGCAAAATTCATGTTGTTCTTGTGCCATGATATTGCGTTCTTCCAAGTAGTTCATGAGCGCTTCGGCAACAGTCGCTTCCATGATTTTGGAGAGCACCGGAAGTAATGTTATCGGGCGCTAGTTGGCTGGATCTGTACGACTTCCCTCCTTATGGATGGGAGTGACGATCCCTGCTTCCACATTTTTGGCACTCGCATCTCATCGAGACATCGTTGAAAGAGCTTGGAGAGTGGGTCTGCCAAGTTTACTGCAGTCACTTTCAACGCCACTGCAGCATCTTTTCGCTTATTATTATGACGACTGCCACGAACCAGTAGCCCTCAATCTCGTTATTCTACGGTTCACTTCAACACAGTTCAACAATTATGATACTGGCGGAGAAGTGTGCGAGATCCAGTTGCAACTACTCGCCTCACTTGAATAACAATACATAACGACGGTAAGAACACGAGGTTGAACGCAAACAGCATACAGCGAAATCGGAGTTAGGAAAAGAAGCGCGTAAGACCAATCAGAATGGCATTAACATTAACAGCTAGATACAGGAACTCAAATGAAGGAGCAACACGGACTTCGTGACAGCAGGATCTCTGATAATCTTCAACCGCTGATGTAAACCATTTCAGGACCCCATCCACTTAGATAGCATGCACCAGCCTGGCCAAGTCTCTCGGTCACTTTCTTCAAACCTTTATGCCGCCTAATCGACTGGCCACCTCGCGGTTTCGCCCAACTTCGTACAACCATGGCGTATGATATACGTCGAGGCAGTCTTTCAACGGACACACGGAGAACGTGACCCAGCCGGCATAAAACGGTTGTGTCTAAGTAAACACTCCAGTGCAGCACCAGCGGGTTTCTTGCCAAAAACCAACTGGCGCACCTCATCATTGTTCGTCCGGTGTTCCCATCAGATATGAACAATACTCCACCGATCGTTTGATCTCTTCACTATGAACTGGCCAGGCCTCTGATCCATACAACA